CATGACCCCTGGGGATTGGGCGGGGCCACAATGTGGAATCAAAGTCTTACATAGAAATATATAGGAAAAATCTTTGAAAATCTTCTTCTCAAGAACAACTGTGCCAGAAAAGCTGAAACTTATGTGGAAGCATCCTGGGGTAGTGTAGATTTTAAATTAGACAAATCATGACCCCCGGGGGTTGGGCGGGGTCACAATGGGGAATCAAAGTTTTACATAGAAATATATAGGAAACATCTTTCAAAATCTTCTTCTCAAGAACCACTGTGCCAGAAAAGCTGAAACTTATATGGAAGCATCCTGGGGTAGTGTAGATTCTAAATTGTTCAAATCATGACCCCCGGGCTTGGGCGGGGATACAATGGGGAATTAAAGTTTTACATAGAAATATATAGGAAAAAGCTTTGAAAATCTTCTTCTTAATAACAAATGGGCCAGAAAAGCTGAAACTTATATGGAAGCATCCTGGGGTAGTGTAGATTTCAAATTGTCTAAATTATGATCAGTGGGGTAGGGTGGGGTCACAATATGTATTACAAGGGGTAAATCTAGTAAAGTACAGAATTGTCAAAGCTTCTCAGGTGAGCGATGTGGCCCATGGGCCTCTTGTTATAATATGCCAGGATCGATAGATCCGAGGCGTATATTATTTTGTCCTGTCTGTTTATCTGTCTGTCTGTTGTCAACTTTAACCTTCGACATAACTTTTGAAAAATAAGAGATAGAGACTTCATATTAGGTATGCGTATTTCACTTCTTATGTTCTTTCCATTGACACCAAGGTCAATGCCCTTATGACCTTGACTGTAACTTACATCTTAAAAATAGCTTTTTCGAACTTTTGCCATAACTATTGAGCCGTGTAAGATAAGGAGTTCATATTAAGTATGTTTACTCCACTTATCAAGCTCTTTCAAATGATAGCAAGGTCAATGACCTTGAAACTTTGACTGTGACGTAGATGCTAAAAATAATTTTTAGGAACTTTGATGCCACCGGACACATAGTGTTTCACAAACACATCTTGATTTAAGAGGCATAGGAATATTTGATATTTTATTGAAAAAAAATGAAATTAGTTCACATGGAATAATGTAATATAATTTCTTTAAAAATTGCTTATATTTAGTAAAATATAGTTTTGTTTCGTGTTCTTAAATTCCCATATGTAAACCATTGAATTTGGGCCAGAAACAAAGAACTGCAATTTCGAAAACATTTTTAACAGGACTATAATAATTAGAATCGATACACTAAAGCTTAATTTTAAACAAAAATTAACTACTTTATTTACAAAATAGAATTCAATTTCGTCTCCAAACGTAATATCTAGATCAAAATTGGCTTTATTATATTCAGGTTGAATCCAAAGGCATCTAACCTTTCTTTTTTTCTTTTAATAAAAAAATATACCCCTACCTAATAATAAACTAGCTGCAATAATGTAGCCCTCTCTGATTTTTTTTTTTTTGGGGGGGGGGGGGGGGAGAGGGCTACAACTCCTTAGGATCTTTCTAATGGCGCAGAGCGGGAGTGAATCGCTCCCGCAAGGATTTCGTCTCAAATTGTCTGTAAACGGCTGTTTTATTTATATGCCTTACCTGAACTTCCAAAATGTAGTTATCCCAGACATAAATCGAACATTAAATATACAGAACAATCAATATATCAGTATTTTTCGTGTATGTCAACATCACAACTTAAATTTATCCGCCATGTTTACTGACCTTGACAGATTTTATTTTGAGACAGCCAATGAAATTAAGGATCTACAGGGAGCAGATTTCTTTAGAATTACCTTATTTTAAGCCTAAATATCACTGTTTACAAAAAAATGAAACATGGAATGATTTTATTCATCGATGTTTAGTGTTACTATTCATCACAATTATTTATTTACCTCGACATTTGCTTTATTGAGTTATTCAAAATTTCAAGCGCAAGTCTCACTACGTCACGCGTGAACTGTCATGGCTGCGAAATAAGAGAGAAGAAATCACACAGATTTATTTTACATGGTTTTCGCGTTTAACGAGCTATGATGTCGACAGTGAATAAAAATCTCGTCTAAAAAGAAGTAAGTTTAATGTAAAAACAATTTATTCGGCCTGCAGTCGCTCGTATTTAAAAAATATTTTAGCACCATTACGGAGATGCTGTGGAATTGTAGCCCTCTCCAGAAAATATCAGATAAAAAAATCGGAGAGGGCTTCATTATTGCAGCTAATAATAAACAAGCAAGGTATCCATCGGGACCGCCATCTTGGATTTTCGAAGTCGGTTATTCCATTGTATTTTCGTCTGAAACTCCCTAAAAAAAAATTTCTCTGCACCATATCCTTTCTGTTCCCAGTCTTTGGAGGTTAAAACTTACGACCAGTGCAACCAGAAGGGCTTATTACCCTTGCAAATATTAAAAATCCCTCTTCAAACTCGATCGACTGCTTCAACAATGCGAGAAAACAGCTTTTTTCTGCAAACGTTAACGTTCGCCATAACTGTTGAACCATGAAAATAAACACTTCATATATTGGTATATATAGATGTGCACTCTACTAATTAGGCTCTTTCCAATTATACCAAGGTCACAATTGCTTTGTGACTTTGACTTTGACCTATAAGCTAATAATTTTTTTTGTCTTCAAACTATAACTTCTACATAACTTTTGAACTAAGAAAGATAGAAACTTCATATTTAAGATGCATACTCCACGCATGAAGCTTTTTCAAATGACACCAAGGGCAATGACCTTTTTCATTGTCTGTGACCTATATGGCAAAAATAGCTTTTTTGAACCTTCATCATAACTTCTGAACTATGAGGGATATGACTATATTTGGTATGCATACTCCACTTATCAAGTTCTTTCAAATGATACCATGGTCAATGACCTTGTGACCTCGACTGTGACCTATATGCTGAAAATAGCTTTTTCGAAGTTAGTTGCCGCCGGGTGCATAGTGTTTCACAAACACTTCTTGTTAAGTTTCTCAATTTTTTTCATTGAAATTTGACAAATGATGTTTTTCAATTCCCTTACATGGAGGAAATAGCGTTTATGATAACATTAATATATTAGCATCAATCTATATCTTTTTTTACAGGCATAGATGAAAGAAGCCATCTTTCCCTTTTTCAAACAGTTTTACAATGACAGTTGATTTCATATAAAATGTTGAATCCCTTTTCCTCCATAAGATTATAAGGAAAGTTTTCGATCACCCTCCCCATCTTTAAAAAAAAACGATGCTGCACACATGTTAAATATGGAAAAATGAATGATTAATAAAAAGGATTTTCAAAGATTGCATTTATCTTAATGCTTTTGGTCCTACCCCTCAGGCACCCGGGGGAGTAGCACGGACCATGGAATTAGCAATTTTTGTTCACCTTCACCCTATGGTGTTTTATGCAAAATTTGGTTGAAATTGGTTGAGAGGATGCAGAAAGGAAGCTGAAATGTTCAGATATAATAATAACGCACGACGAAGGACGAAAACGGATAGCAATTATGGTTTACACAGGTGAGCAAAAAATGGCCCAGATTATTTTTTCGATATAAAAAGGACAAACACAGAGATTCAAACATTCAACATACTAAGTAATAATTACATTTTCCCGATGATAATTTGAAAGTAAAAACATAGGTATTCAGAGATTACAGAGCTCACCTCAACGAATGTTGTCTTGAAGTAAGGCAAAGTCACACAATTACCCAACAAAGGGTGTACATTCAAAATTGTGAAATTCATGCAATTTTGATCTAATACTTTAGAATAGACCTATATAAAAACTTCAAACTAGTACTTCATCACGAAAACGTAACTAAAATCCAGCATCTGAAGCCTTGATGCATCATTTGTGTTTGCTTTGGTTTATAAAAGCCTTATTGTTTCTTGGTAATAGACCTGCACCCAGAATTGTACCCGGTCGATTATCTGTAAAATGTACCCGGTATGTCGAATTCAGCATCCAAAGCAAGCCCATTAGTATGCATCCTAAGACGTATCATCCATACAAGTTGTTCAACATAGGGCTCATACAGTTAGTTACTTGGAAATGAAACCTGCATAAAAAACTAACCTTTTCACTCATTCAGAAAATGTAGGTCAGACTCAGCATCCGAAACCGGCTTGGTAGAATGCATCCTTAGATGCATTATCCATGCAAGTTTGGTCATTAAAGAGATAATATTTACTTAGAAATGAATCCTGCACCAAAAACTTTAACCTGTTCACTCATCCGGAAAATATAGGTCAGTTTCAGCCTCCGAAGCACAGGCACTTGTTTCTGTAATAAATTTTTGACCCGGTAGTATAATAACAACACGTTGTACTATGGGTCAAAAATTTATTACAGAAACAAGTGCCTGTGGTATGCATCCTCAGATGTATTATCCGTGCAAGTTTAGTCGTAACTTTGAAATGAAACATGCACCAAAAACTTTAATCTGTTCACTCATCCAGAAAATGTAGGTCAGATTCAGCATCCGAAGTAAGTCTGGTAGTATGCATCCTAATATGTACCATCCATGCAAGTCGGTACATCTTAGGATGTAAACTACCAGACTTGCTTCGGACGCTAAATCTGACCTACATTTCCTGGTTGTCGAATTCCACTGTGGGACGTGGAGACCAGTCCTTCGGATGAGACCGTATAAACCGAGGTCCGAAGCAAGCCTCGTAGTGCACATTCTTAGATGAATAATCCATGCAAGTTTGATCAACATATGGCTTATAGTTACTCAGAAATGAGACCTAATCTAGTCAGTTTTTATGCTATGTTTTAAAATTTTTCAGTCATACTTTGTGAATGTTTCACAGAAAAAATATTTTATTCAAAAAAGTAATTAAAAAAACCTTCTGTACGTAACACGGTGGGGATGGGGGGTCAAGCACCTACATGTGTATGAGGCTACTATGTGTAGTAATGTGGCACTCATACACGTGTTTAGTTATAAAGCTCAGTAACCGTCACCTAATAAAGATAAAACACAGCCTCGATAAGACTTGTTTATTAGATTTCTTGTCAAGCATATAACAATTTGTTGGTCCTCATAAACAATTATAAAACTGTCAATAGCTTAACACGTTTTATGGTACTCTATAGAAAGACTGACGCTCGTTTGCTGGTTTTGTAAAACCACAAAAACAACCAACCATACACAAACAAAAACATAATCACCCAGGCTGAATATCAGCTTGGATACATGTACATGGTCCAGACACAATGTAGTAATGTCATGATAATGGTCAATACAATAGAAATGTGACGAATGTAATACTGAGCAAATCTAGTCTGTGCAGGGGAAAGTGGCGGATCTCATTTCTTCTTAAAGATTCGTCGACACACCACGTTGTTGACATAAATTGTCTACAATAAAAAGAAAAAAAAATGAAGTCATTATTCAAAGTTCTAAAAGAAGGAAGAAGATGGCATTATGAGTCAGTGTTAAAAAGATAAATGAATATACAACATATGGTACTTCGTATATATCATTAGTATACAGATGGTGACTGTTGTATCGCATTCTTATATTCAACGTTACATACGAGCGTACATGTATCTCGGAAGCATTTGAGGAGGCAATTACAAGCAACTAACTGGGGAATGCAGATTAAAGTGTTCTTGACAATGCATAAATGATACATATATTATACATGTTAATGCCTATAATTCTCAGTTAAATATGGAAATATCTTTATATTAATTTCATGACTAATTCGTTTATAATTTTTTAAAAACAGTAAGCATTGTTTTCACCACCCTCCCCCCAAATAAAAAGTGACCCAAAGTCTTGATTTAATAAAATATGCCCTCCCAGCCCTTTTAAAAAAGCAAAAAAGCAGACAGGCATGCATGTTTAAAGTACAAAATTGCATTTATTTGTCGTGTACACGTGCATGCAGACTTGGGTAAGCGGAGCTAATATCTACCATAAGAAGTTCCCCATTCACCAACTCTCTCTCCACGCGGGTGGCCTTGCCCTTTGACCCTTCCGTCGGTTTGGCCTCTGTTATTAGTTTCCCGTCTTTCCAGGTCACTGTAGCCTGTAACGTGTTAGAGTGTTAGTTAGTTTTATAACTGTAATGATTACCATGATCAGCTGCCCGTCCACCACCTCTCGGGTTACTTTGGTCTCCTTGGCCTTTGACCCCACTGTCGGCATGGAATGTGTGACTAATTTACCCTCAGTCCACCTAACGACTGCCTTCCGAGAGGAAATAACATTGTAAGTGTCAGACAGAGAAGTGGAGTTATTCAGGAAATTGATGTTTAAATTTGCAAAATTGTACAGTTAACAAATACTAATATTTACAAAGAATAAATCTTTTTACATGGTACTTTTTAAATCACACATTTTGCAGCTGGATTTCTAGGGAAAGGGAATCTATCTCGGTTTATTCATTTAAACATGTTAAAGAAATGTGATATTGAAACCCTTATATTTACATTTCCAATGTCTTTTCCCGAGATAAAATTACCAATTGTAAATGTAATTGATTTCCTCATGAATGTTTTGGCGCGGTTCCAAAAAAACCACGTGCAGGGCGGGACAACACCTAGAGAGAAGCAAGCTTGGAGCCCGTGGATTGGCGGAATCAAAGCATGTAAATATAAGGAATAACTGTCAGATTTTTCAAATTCATGAAGATGATCAATGGATTGGCTTGTGTGATAATTTTATGCATAAACGCCTTCGGCGTTTATGCAAATTATCACACAAGCCAATCCATTGATCACTTCATGAATTCGAAAAATAAGACAGTTATTCCTTAAATATAACACGGTCCTCTCTTTAGAAAACATGGATCATTACTCGATATAGTAAAATGGTCAGTAGTCATAACAATTTATGTAGGAAAGAGGCTATGTGTGCCTAGTGGGGTAGTCCTATTCTTATAACTTTATTTGAATTATATCCTTACGTCCTCAATAATGATTTTTCTATCCAAATCAATGCTAGACACTGCATGATTTTTACCCATGACAAATCCCATTCCTCCTTAGCTCCGCTACAGATACTCTGCCCCTTTAGCCCCCTCTTTTCTGCCACCTTTCTTTTTGTAACATGATTTTGTTACCTTCATTGGGTTGTCCTGAGGATCGCTGGACTCCACCTCCGTATCCAGGTGAAATTTATGGTCGGAATCTTTGGGTCCCTTGGTGTGGATCCGCACCTGTCCATCCTCCACCGAGATCGTCATAGTGCTACTGGCGGCCGCAGCTAACTTCCGGAGCACAAAGTTCACACCTAGAAAAAAAATGTTTGATTTTTCTAGCGTGTGTAATTGTATAGAGATATCATTACTATACATAAAATAATTGCAATTTTTATCCATTCGTCATTTGAATATATAAAATTCAAAAGGATGAAGATAAGAAACAGCGATAAAACTTCTAAAATAATATCCAAATACATGTAGCGGTAATACAGATAGAGGTGGAATCGGGTGCCTGGAGGGAGTAAGCAACCCCTGTTGATTGGTCACATTCACCGTGAGCTGGTATAGATGTATAGATCAGAAAGACGAACATTGTAACCGTAGTCAAATTCTGTATAAAACGAAGGCCAAATATATAATGTACATGTATTTTGCTAACAAGGTCATTATAAAGACAACAGAATTTAGGAAAATTAATGTTGACTTTTATTGAGGTTGTTAAAATCCATGTAACATCAATTTATCTGTTAGTAACCTGCATCGGTTTAAAAAACTTATTTTAATCTAAGCATGTTCATGAGAATCGATTTAGTTGGGAGATGTAAACATTAAATGCAGGTGTGAGTGGGATATTACTGTAACTACATAAATATAAAGAAAGTTGACGATGGAAAAAATGAAATCATCTCGTTTGTCATACGTACAGTTGAAATTGTACCGTACGTATTTAATGCTAATTCTTATCTACACTTTGACATTAATGCCAATAGTTTGTCTTCTTCTGGTAATTTTTTCTAACTGCATCATTTCATATAAATTTCCTCCTTATTTACTACATAATTTATACTGGCGGTCGTTATCTAGAGTATATGATATTCATCCCATTTATTCAGTAGTTCCGGAAAACTTAACAGGATTTACCAGTTTGAATACAGACTTTGACAAATAAATTACAAAACAGATGCAGTTAGATATAAAACCCTAGTATAATATGAAGCGGTCTGGGTTCGTTGACCCGACCTCCTGCGACTCAAGATCGACCCCGGTATGTATACCACTAAACTCAACTGCTAGGCTTAGTCCGTGTGATTCAGATCAGGATCGGCTCGGTCTTGAGTTTTGCCTGAATACATTTAAATAGGATGACCTAAGATATTGTACTCAATCATTAAGTTGACCTCCAAAACAGCAATATTTAGTATATTTTATGTCCCTCTCGGTCTTCCATTTAAATTGTTTTTCACCAAGCACCAAATATACTGGCGGATCCAGAGATCTTGCAAAGGGTTAGGGGATCAAAGTCACATACACACAATGATTTATTAAAACTTATGTATATTTTTGACACAAAGGGAAGGGAGGGGGATTCAAGTTACCCTTCTCCCTAATCCGCCTGTGAGATATAAACATAGTTCTGGTACTAAATCACATGTATCTATGATTCTATTTTTAGAAACCATTCTCCAGTAGGGCCTATATGTATTAAAACACTAGCAGACTCTCTTCGCAAGCAATGGTGAAGATTTCTCCTCTTTTCAGCCAAATTTAGAGGATCGAAAGGAGCGGATCGTCACCCTTGGCTATGGAAGATGTAGCAGACTTGTCTCTGATTCATCTGTAAAACCAAAGCCTTCGTGCTATCGATCGCTGATGACGAGGCAACGGAACACGCCCCGATAGATACAAGGTCAACGGAGCCTTGGGCTGAAGATGATGAGGGAGAATTTCAAGATACAAAAAAAAACACACTTACCGATTTCTTTTAAGT